ATCAATAAGGTCCAGGGCCTCTGGAGGTTTAAATACAGTTCTGGTTGGCTGCTAAAAAACCTCTATGGTACTAAGCACCAAGGTAACACTCAGTAAATATTTGTTGATTGACTGACTGATCATTCAGTTTACACTAACAACAGGAGTGGACTTTTTTTTTTTTCTCATTTTTACTCTTTCATAGGATTTAGAGCTAAAAGGGAGCTTAGAGGCCACTGAATCCAGTCCCATTATTTATAGTCCTGACCCTTATTCCTAATGAGGACTGTTTGAGCAGAATAGTTCTTGTGGACTCAGCTGAAATTACAGCGATTTCAATAATTCTCATTAGCATCCCAAGGGTAAGCTGTAGGCACTGAATTCTATTCCTAGCTCTCTTACTACTAAACTTTGTCTACATTTGGTTTATAAACTGATGCACAAACAGGAAGTGTTAAATGCAAAATGTCAACAAAAACTTGTCTACTTTGGGCGATGGAGGAGACTTTTCAATTTCATTCTTGGCAGAATGCCAGGTAAGAAAAACACATTGGTAAGAACTAGGGCAGCTCTGACTAATTTGATTTGAGCTGGCTTACCCAAGGGAAAGAATAGAAATGTTATTCCAAATGAGGTTTGGATGTGGCATGGATGCAAACGTCTTCTGAATTATCTATTACTTGTCCATCTATTCAACTGCAATACCAAGCGTATCATGAGTACGGGCAACTCTCAACCTTTCAAGAGAGGACCTCACATTCTCTGAAGAGAGGTGCCCCTCATCCCATTCCCCCCAAAAAAGCAAAGGGATAATAAAAGATTCCATACTGGAGAAGGCAGGGAACTACCTGTAGCAGACACTGGAAACAAGAAGGAAGAAAAAGGAAAGGGAGGGAATTACTATTCTTTATGTAGCTAGCAGTCCATAAGATTTTAGTCTTCCATTCACTCAGAATTCCTCTGAGTACAGACTCCAAAAGTACAAAGCTTAAATTTGTCATTAATCTCTTTGCAGCTAATTTTTTTTATGTTAACCGACAGAGCAATTACTCAGAATTTATTGACCTATTCTGGCTTTCTTAATTGTTTAGTTTACATTGATACAGTGAATAAACAGTGAACAAAGTCAGTACTTTGCGTCTGTATCTTTTAATCTTTAATTCTTTAGTTTGAACTGAGGAAGCTGTTTTCTCCCAGAATTGGTATGAGGTGAGAGAGAGAGTATGTGTGTGATTTGTCTAGAATGAGAAGAGTTGGAAAAGATCTGAAGAGAGATAAAAACCATCTTGAATCTCAGATTTTAAACTTCTTTCATCTAACATTTAGAAGTAACAGACATATCATTTTCCAAAGGTCATAAAAGGGGCCAGAGGTAAACCTAGGCTATATCTCAGGCCTTGTTTCCTAAAAATTTGGAAGTTAAGGAATCACAATTGTCAAGGAGAAAAAATTGCAATACATTAATAAGAAACTTCTTTACTTTGATCATTTAAAATTCAGATTTGGTAAGAAAGTGACTTAATATATAGTACTTGGATTTTTCAATTGGGGAAATAAATACATGAGGATTCTCATGTAGAATATAGTTGCTTAACTTCAGAAAAATTTTTCTAATCAACTCTGTTACTAGGACATTATTGTACCAACTGTGTTACTCATAAGTCTGAATAAAGGAACAACTCTAGCACATTTCAAAAGTAAAGGTATCTAATTTTAAAAGAGAGATTGTGGGGTCAGGTAGGTGACACAATAGATAGAGAGTCAGACCTGAAGTCAGGAGGACCTGAGTTCAAATCCGGCCTCAGATAATTACTAGCTGTGTGACCCTGGGCAAGTCACTTAACCCCGACTGCCTCAAAATAATAATAATAATAATAATAATGAAAGAGAGACTTTGGAATATTGAATAGCTGACCTTGGAGTGAGGAAGACCCACGTTTGAGTCCTGCTTCTGACACATATGTTCTGTGTGATTCTGGGCAATCATCTAACTGTTCAGTGCCTTGGGCAACTCTCTAAGATGTTAATTTGCAGAGGAGATGCTGGCCTGCTTTGGTAGATACAGTTAACTGATCTGATAGCTTCTCATATCAATCAAATCAGAGGTCCAGGCCCTATCCCTAATTCCTCAATTTTAAAAACCAAATGATTTATCATTGACTTAAAATTGAACATAAATACAACCCTGCTTTGTAAATTAATTATATTTAGACGAATGAATTTCAATATATAAAAATGTGTAACTTTCAGTCATTTGCTCTAAGTCTCCATTAGAATTCTTTGTTCCCTTCAGAATTATTCATTTTTCCTCTTATGTGGTTGTATTTAGTGAATACTCTATCCTGCTTCTGCTTTTTCAAAGCTCTATATTATTTCCAAAAGGCATTCCTGGATTGCTTTATGTTCCTCTTACTTTTCACCCTTAATTGCATTTCAATATTTAGTATTCCATCAATGTGACATATGGTTCAGTTAAGTATTTTTCTATTGTTGGACATTTAGGTTGTTTCCAGTTTTCTTGAAGTTAAAAAATTCTGCTGCGAGGATCATTGAACAAATAGCTCATTCTTTATTATTATTATTATTATTATTATTATTATTATTAATTTATTACAAATAGCTCTTTCTAAAAATTTTTTTTAACTTTTGAGCTTTATTTCTAACTATGGAATTCTTGGATCACAAGCTATAATTATTACTATATCTATTTTAACTCCATAATGCTAAATTGAGATGCAATTTTTAAAAACAATTTCGCAATCCCACCAGTTAAGTAATTTTTATGAGATAGAATATGACACACTGGAATGCCAAAGGACTTGAAGCTAGACAATGTAGGCTTCAAATATCACCTCTGGCACTTGTGCAATCATGAACAAATCATTTAAACTCTCTGAGACTCAATTTCCTCATGTGTAAAATGAGAATAATAATATATTACTACCTACTTCAGAAGGCTGTGGGCTGCATCTAATAAATGCATAAAGTACTTTTAAAATTTTAAACTGATATGCCAAATATTATAATCACCATTATTATGGAAAAAATCACAATTTTTCATATTTGATCATTATTTCATATTCATTGTTATTTCTAGTAACAGATAGTACAGACTAAAAGACAGAATCATCTTACACATTAGAAATTTTGGATAATATTTTTCAGATCTATCTCTAACTTGCATAGCAAATCAGCTGTAATTTCTATTCCTCAACTGAAAACAATACTGATTCCTATCTAATCCAGTGAAATGTTCAAAATATCAAGCAAATTAAACAAATTAGTTTGAACTACTAAAGGCAGGTGATGTTACATTATAACTAAGTTAAGTCAACTGATATTTATTGTCTCCTATGTGCCAGGCACTGTGCTAAGTGCTGGGGACATAAACACAAAACAAAACAGTCTTTGCTCTCAAGGAGTTCAAAGTCTAATGAGAGAGACAACATTACAAACAACTATTTACAAACAAAATATACATGGGATAAATTGAAGATAATTAATATAGGCAAGGAACTAAGATTAAGGACAAATTTTGTTGAGTCGTTTAAGTCTTGTCAAACTCTGACCCCATTTTGGGGTTTTCTTACTGGAACGTACTGGAATGGTTTGCCATTTCCTTTTCCAGCTCATTTTACAGATGAAGAAACTGAGACAAACAGGATTAAGTGACTTGCCCAAGGTCACCCAACTTGTAAGTGTCTGAGGCTGGATTTGATTAGCTTTTCTGATTCCAAGCCCAATGTTCTATCCACTTCACCACCTAGCTGCCCCTAAGGAGGAATAGGAAAAGATTTTTTGTAGAAGGTGGGACTTTAGCTGAGACTAAAAATGAAGCCAGGAGGTGGAGATGAGGAAGGACCGTCTGTGAAAATATATGGAGTTGAAAAATATGAGAGGAACAGCAAGGGAACCAGTATCACTGGATCCTAGAGTACATAGTGGAAAGTAAGATATTAAAAGACTGAAAAGGTAGGGAAGGGGCCAGGTTATGGAGGGCCTCAAAGCCAAACAGGGATTTCATATTTGATCCTGAAGGCAACAGGAACCACTGGAGTTTACTGAATGGAAGAGGCAGGGGGGCAATATCATCAGACCCACATTTTAGGAAGATCAATTTGGCAGCTGAGTAGAACATGGATTGGAGTGTCAATCAGTCAATAAATATTTATTAAATAACTACTATATGTCACACGCTCTGCTAAGCACTGGGGATACAAAAAAAAGGTAAAAGAGAGTCCCTGCTTGCAAGGAGTTCAGTGTGATAAGGGAGACAACATGCAAACATGACATATACAGGATAAACTGGAGACAATAAACCAGGGAAGGCACAAAAGTGGGGAGAGACCTGAAGCCAGGAGACCAGCCAGTAGTCTACTGAAGTACTCTAGGAATAAGATGATGAGGAACTATACCAAGATGGTGGCAATGTCAGAGGAGAGAAGTATATTCAAGAAATGTTATGAAGGTAGAAATGATAAGACTTGATACCTGATCAGATATAAGGGTGTGGGGAACGAGAGAGAGTAAGGACTTGAGGATGGATGATACACAGGTTGTGAACCTGGGTGATTGGGAAGATGGTAGTATCTTTGATAGTAACAAGGAGGTTAGAAAGAGGGTTTGGGGGACGGGAAGACAATGACTTCAGTTTTGAACATGTCGAGTTTATTTCCTAATTTTTTGTTTTAGGGGTGAGCGGTATTGGACCTCTATGAAACTAGCTATTTAACTATAAGAGAAGAAAACAATTAAAAATTCCTTTCCATGCTGATCTGGCTTTTTGAAACTGTGGAAAAAGGATACTGATCTTTGGCAACTCACATTTTCTACTACCACAGCAAATTAGAAGATTTAATAGTAGATTTTGAAGGGATTTAGAAAGAAAAATTCTTATTTTTACTAAACCCAACATTACCTATATGTAAAAGAAAATTATATCTTATTTTAGTTTGGTGTCATGCTGTCATATTTGGATGCTTCAGAGCAAAAGCATTTTACTGATCAAGGCACTTGTTTACCTCATAGGCTGGGCTCCTTTTTCATCATCAGAACTTATGTCGACATCAAAGGTGTCCTCCATTCCAGGAGATGAGGTCTGATCTTCCTTCTTGTCTTGTTTATATTTCTTTTTCCGCCGTTTTTTCTTCTTCACAGAACCTGGGTTGAAAACGGTCTCTGACTCCATTATGTGTGAGATTTCTGCACTCTGACACATCCTTTCATTTCCACCTGACTGAATCAAATGAGTCTCAATATCTTTAAAGAACTGATCTTCTGTAGGTATTGGTGAGGTAGCCAAGTAGGCAGGAAGTTTTTCCTTAAAAAGAACAAGGAAGACAACTAAGATATAAAACAAAACACTTGTTGACTTTTTATGTAAAGTTAACAATAGCAAAAAAAGATCTATTTCAAGTAGAAGCCAAAAAATCTTACAAAGTTTTTCTACCACCTTGCCTAATTTGGAAGCCAGGAGCTAACTACTTAAGTAGATCACTGAAAACCACACTTTGAACATGTCTCTCCAAATAGTTGCTGAACAGCTCAGTGCTGAGTCACATTAGTACAAAAGTAGTTAGCTTTCATAGCACACATCTAGAGAAATTGACACTACATGCTTGGAGGAAAAATAGAAAAGGTATGATAGGCACCACCGTTAAAACAGACAATTAAAATTGCTATGAAAGTAAAACAGTAGTTTTACAAAGGACCATACAAAGAATTTACTGAGATAAAGAGCAATGAGACTGAAGGGAAGTAGGAGGGAAACTCTAAAAGATTCACATCAAACAAAGGGCTGATGGAAAAATCAAATATAGCAAAGAAAAAGTGCTAAAGCGAACAAGGGGACGTAGCTGAAGAAATAGTTTACGAATGACTTTGCCCAATTAATTAAGTGTGGAGAGGAGCGGGTAGGCCAGAGATTCCTCTTAATAAACGAAATTAATATATCCTAAAATGAGGACATTTTAAAAAAATCTGTTCTCCTGGGAAGAAAACCAGAAACTTGTAAGGGCAAAAGGAAAATAAGGAAAGCCCTTTTAAATTGGTTAATGGAGAAGAAATTGACTGGAAATTAACATCAGAAAAATGAGTATGTCCTGATATTCAATAATAAAGAATCAGTTAATGGATTTCTGAAACACTTGACATCAGTAACATCACTGATACATACTTTTGAACCACAAAAAGAAAATGGTAGGGACTTATGAAGACATAAAAGAAACCTTCTCATTTAATACAATCCAATTTAACAAACATTTATTAAGTGCCTACTCCGTGCAAGGCACTGGAGATAAAATGAGAAGAACAGACCCAAAGAACTTTTGAACTGAAAGGGACACCAAGTCCGAACTGTATTATGAACAGGAGCTCTCTCTACAACATAGCCAACAAGTGGCCATTCAACCTTTGTTTAAAGACTTCCAGTGAAGGGAATCGACTCTGCACAGAGGTAGACTGATACACTTTTAGTTTAAAAATTAGCAACTGAGCTACAAAAGGAAATTTTTTCCTTGTGTTAATCCTAAATTTTCCTCTTTGCAATTTATGCCTATTGTTCCAAGTTCTGATCTCTAAAAAAAAGCAAACTATCCCTTCAAATATCTGAAGATGCCACCATGCCCCTATCCTACATCTTCCCTTTTACAAATTAAATAAACAGCCCCTGTTCCTTCAGTCGCCATCTTGGTTGCTCTACTTTGGGCATTCTCGAAATTATCAATACACAATATTCAAGATGTGGTCTGATCAGAACTGAATAAAAAGCAACTATCGTCTTCTTAGTTCTGGACATTATATGTTTCTTAATGAAGCCAAAGGTTGAATTAGCCTTTTTTTTTTTTGGCCACCAGATCATACTACTGACTCATTTTGAGCACTAAAACCCCCAGAACTTTTTTTCAGATGGGTTGCCATCTAGCCACACCTCCTCCATCCTGAGCTTGTGAAGCTGTTTCTTAGAATCCAGGAGTAAGACTTTAAGAGTTAATTCTAAGGCAATTTCATTTTGTTAGATTTGATTTGGGCCACTGTTCATCTTTGCTGACATCCTGACAGGTACTGATTCTATTTTCTGTTGTGTTAAGGAGCTCTTCTAAAGCTTTTTCTAACTTTTTCTATCCATCCATTCTCCACAGGCTTTCAGATATCACTCACAGAGGCTTAGCATCATGGTATATGGCTATGCCAATTCTTTGTGTACCCTACAATACGCAACTTGGGTCAGATAATTAGAACTAATTAAATGGAGAACAACTAAGAACATCACTCTATTATTTATCTTCCGGAAACTATCTAACCAATTGTCCTTAAAGGACTTACATTCTATGGGAAGAACAGGTACAAGGGTATAAATATAATGTTAATATAAATAAATACACACACAAGGATATAATTAAGGAGAGAGGCAGCACTAAGAACTGAAGGAATGAGGAAAGGTTTTGTGGAATAGGAGCCGAGCTGGATCATGAAAGATGACAAGAATTCCTTGAGGTGGCAATAAGGTGACAGTGCATTCTAAGCATTCAGGATAACTAGTGCAAGTCTGTGGTGAGGAGATAAAGTATTGCGTTTAGGGAATAGTTAATAGTCCAGTTTGACTGGAATGTAGAGTTTATGAATGAAAGTATTATAAAATAAGACTGGAAAGATAGTTTCTTTCTTTTTTTTTTTTAAAGGCAACTGGGGTTAAGTGACTTGCCCAGGGTCACACAGCTAGTGTCAAGTGTTTGGTCTGAAGCCAGATTTGAACCCAGGTCCTCCTGACTTCAGGGCCGGTGCTCTATCCACTGTGCCACCTAGATGCCCCAGTTCCTTCCTACTAGACTATAGAGGGTCACAAATACCAGGCAAAGCATGTTTCATTTTATCCTATAAGCAACAGGGAAACTACATTTTTAAAGATACAGGTCCCAGTTCATAACCATGTAATCTTTAATTCTTCATTTCAGCTTGTTACCCATAAATCTGTTTTTACAAGAATAGCAGGCCATGAGAGAAGGGTAAAAAACACTAAGTTTCTCAAGACATTATCAAATGACAGATCCATTACAGGAGAGGAATGAAAGAAAAAGAAAATATAAAGTGTTTGGGCCACACTTCAGCCTTCCATGACTTGAATCATCTTCTCTATAGACATGACTTCTAGACCTTTATCTTTTCTGCCAATCTCTCCTCCGAGTTTCACTCCTACCTGCTGACCTCTCCACCTTCAATGTTTTGCTGACTCCTAAAACTAAGCACATCCAAAACAGAAGTCATCATCTCTATTAATCCTGTCTTATCTCAACTTCTTTATTTCAGGTGATGAAAGTGAAACCCTCTCAGTCATCCAAAGTCAAAATCTCAGAGTTATCTGAGTCTCTTATCTCACCAATCATCTTCCACAATCAATTTAGAGCACTGGCTCCGGAGTCAAAGGATCTGGGTTCAAATTCTGCCTTGGACACTTATTGTCTCTTAAGCTTGGGCTAATTACTTAAAACACCCTGGGTCTTACATGTCAGTGATACTATGGAAAGGAGAAGCATGAGGCTATCATTAGAAGAGAAGGGTCACTGGATCCCTGCAGTGCCAAAGGTGTGAGTTGTCTGGGACATATGGGCTTTCTATGTATGTGTCCCCTCTCCCCCACTGATGCCATGTGTTAGTTGTAGAAGAGCATGCACCAATTTTATGGGGAGGGAGACGTTTTATAGTTTACCTTATTAAGATGACATTTCACTTAATGAATTTACTTTAACCAATTTTGTCCCCTGGAAGACTATTAAAGGTAACACACCAGTGGGGGCTTGTGAGCTATGGTTTTATGAGTGCAGATGCACAAATTACTTTGACAGTGGGGTACTTGTCCCTTGGGGGACCCAATCTGTGAAATTTGGGGAAGGGCAGTAGCTCAGATGGAGTACTACTTGAAGAAGACTTTAGAATTCCATGAGCTTATTGGATACTCTAAGATGCTGCTTTTTTTATTTTGCTATAAAAATGTACCAAATATGCTTCCTCATAACAACATCTGTAACAACCCTAAATGAAAGCAAAAGCAGAAAAGTAGAACTTGCATTATACTTAGACCACATTCTGTAATAACAGTAATGGTTAATAATAGCTAGCATTTATATAGCACCTACTATATGCCAGGCACCATGCTAAGCACTTTTCAGATACGCCTTATTTGTTTCCCACAACAACTCTGGGAGGTTGGTGCTATCATTACCCCCATCTGACAGGTCAGGAAATCAGGACAAATGGGTTAAGGGATTTATCCAAAGTCTCGCAGATTAGTGGGTATCTGGAGCTGGATTTGAACTGTTTTCCTAACTCTGAGCTCAGTGCTCTGTCACCTGGGCCACCTAGCTGCTTCACCATAATATAAATAACAAAATAATAAGTAAAATATAAATGGGAAAATGAAAACATTCTGGGTCTCTTTCTTTATATATAAAATGAAGCAGTTAGGTAAGTGGCCTCTGAGGTATCTCCCAGCTTCAGATTTATGAGCCAAAATCCTGTCATTTCTGCCCCTAAAATATCTCCTATATTCCTTCGTTCTTTTCCAACCCCACTGCCCTCATTATTTCTCACCTAGGATATTAGTCTAGTCTAATTAGAACTAGAATTAGAATTAGTCTTCCTGCTTCTGATCTCTCCTTTCTACAGCTGCCAAAATAATCTTCCTAATACTCCAGGTCTGTCCATTGAGTGACTGTAACTACTGTTGCTACAATTACTGAAGTTTTGTGGATCCCTTGTTTCCAGATTTGAATATCAAAAGTACAGTATGGCCATGGCTATAATCAAGAACTACTAATTAATATTAATATATTAGTACTATATATATATAATATTATATATATAATATATTATATATATATATATATATATATATTATCTTAATAAAGAATGAGTAGTTACTTGGCTTCTTAGGTCTTTCCTTTAAATAAAGTAGGCTTTTATGTCAAGAAAGATAAGCCAGGAAGCCTAAGAGAGAAACAGGAAATATACAGATGACAGAGGAAAGCTTTCAAGTAATGGTGAACTACATAGCAAAGCCCCTTTAAAGTAAAAAAACAAAACAAATCAAAACAAAACCAAAAATCATTTCCTGCCCCTTCTGTGTTACTCAGTTATTGTTAAATAATAACAACTAGCATTTATATAGTGCTTTAAGGTTTGCAAAGTACTTTACAAGTATTATTTCATTTGATCCACACAACAACCTTGGGAAATAGGCTGCTATTATTATCTTCATTTTATAGATGAGGAAACTGAGACAGAGAGGTTAAGTGATTTGCCCAGGATCACAAATGTCTCAGGCAGGATTTGAACTCCGGTCTTCCCGACAATGGGTAAAGTGCTCTGAGGCTTAAACAATTTTGCATTAAAACAACTATTATACTACTGGAGTGGAGGGTAGGAAAACTATCATTATTCAAACAGCTTATGTTTCCTTGGTAATGTAATAAGGCAACTTTTTTAAGACTCTAGGTTGCAGAATAGGTGTCCATTTGCACTGGATGAAAAATTTGCACTATATTCATGAAATTACAGTCCCCCAAAATATTTTTTCCTGGTGACAGATACATCTTCACAAAAATATGCTACTCATACTTAGATGTCAATTAAATGTCAGTTTTATTTAACTGTGAAACGTAGGAAGCAATATATTTATTAAGTTAAAGACATTTTGGTAATTTTAAAAAATATAAATCGTATTAGTTCTAGCTTTAATGTGACAGAAAGTCATGTAGAGCAAATCAACTTCCCTATATCTTTTTAACTTTCAGCAACAAACAATAAAAATGCCCAGGAGTCTAGTTGACAAAAAAAAAAAAAGATTCTATTCATTATGTCTAGCTATCCCTACTCACAAAAACACTCCATCTAAAAAAGGAGGCCAGAGAAAATTTTTAAAAATGAGTTGAGGTTAAGGATATATGACTCAAGTGAGACAGTAATGTAAAGTGCTTGGCAGACTTTAAAGAACTATTTAAATGTCAGTTGTTTTTCTTACTACTTAGCTGAACAGTTAGGTTAGTACTGTTCAAAAGTCTATTTTAAAAAAGGAAGAATGAATGTGCTACATATGGAGGTTTAATCTTTCTCACTCTTAACTCAAACTTGAAGACAAGCTCACACAGAATTTCTAAATCAATTATGAAGTTAGAGAAGTTGTATTTCCTAGAAATATTTCCACTTTCAGGGTAAAGAAAGCCTAGCTTAAAATGGTAAGACATCATACTCTTCTCCATCCCCCAAGACAAGAAAATGATACAACTCCCTACCTCAAGAACATATAGTAATATACATATGAAAATGTTTAATGTAGAAAACATTATTAAATTTGGAATATTTTAATAACAGAAATCACATTCTTTTGAATAATAAAGTTGCATTTTTTATCAATATTATGTTTTAAAGAAAAGCAACTGACTTTTAACAGGCACACGATTTCAGAGGGAAACTAGTTAAGCAATCAGCAGGAAATATAGCATGTTTTTAGCTCAGCATTAGGGAATACTAAACTAGCAAGTCTGTACTTCTGCAGTTGCCTTTGCCCAATTTGGATGGAATCATCGCAAAGTATTGGTTAGTCAGTGCTCTCAACAGGTTTGTTTATATATGGTACACAATTCATCATGAAACCATTTTCCTATACTGAGAGCTATTTGTAGTTATTTTTAAAACTCTCAAAAATGATTAGTAATTATGACAACTGTAACTTCAACTGTCATTTTCTGGTTTTTCCTTCATAGGCAGCTGAAAGAATTCCATGTAAGACAAATAAATTCCATGTAAGTAGTGGTGATGTAATATGAACAAGAAGACAATGTACAAGGAATTCTCTTGATTTGGTAAACATGTTTTCTAAGTCTAGAGGTCAATACCCTAAAGAGATATGGCTTGGCAGCTAAATGGAACTTTATGTCTTGACTTTCATGTTTACCTGAGACAAACTGCAAATAAAGCTTATTTAATTTAAGAGGAGATATATGTGCCTGCTCTCACAGGGAGGAAAGAATGCAAAAGCTCTTTACTGAATCTCTAGAGAGCAATAAAGATATACAACAGAGATTCAACGTCAGTAAAGACTTCTACTGGCTGGATGAGATGCCATGGTCACTATCCCAGCTGCAAGCAGTGAAACCTAAAGTTTCTCTAATCAGCAGAAAATTTGGGCATGACCAGTCATAAAAACTGCTGAGCATTTCTGTCATTTTAGTTACAGGAAGAAACGAATCTCAGACACCAGTATTGGGTGATGACCTGGATAAGGCAGATACCAGTTTCACCACCGTGACACCAAAGTTCTGAAAACCTACATATTCCTCTTCAATCTCCTCGACAAAGAAGGCTTCTCCATTATCCCCCAGCTTCATGTGAAGGTCCACAGCATCGCCATTGATTTCTATGTCAATCTGCAACAGAAACAGATTTTCATCAGTGAACTCACCAGCACTGTGACCATGGATGCTCGAAGAAAAATTAAAATTATATCTATCCTCCAATATCCATAATCACAATGCTTCATAAATCCTGCAAATGTTTCTTTGACAGTGACCTTCTTTCTCCTACACTTACCACACCTCTAGATCAAGAAATGAATCCAAATGCCCTAGAAGGCTGTGCCTTAAAAGGCTAGCTCATTCATCTCTTGGTGAATTCAAGGGTGGTCCAAGACTAGCCTGAAACGGACCTGCAGTCTACACTCTAGTAACTACTTCAAGGACCCATGATTTTATAGGTATAACTACCCCTTCCATCATGCCAAATGAAAACCTTCCACATCTTAATAGGCTGTTTTTTGAGATACCAGGGACAGAAAGATTCATCATCTGAGAGGTGATATGCCCCTCTGATTTTGGCCAGGCTGGTCCATTGCTGGATCTGTACTTGGAAGTTTTTCCAATTCTCAAAGAACTTCTGACATAGACTTTCAGAAACCAAGGGCACTTCTGCACCACTAGGAGGCATCCAAAGAGGGCTTCCAGGGAAATATTTATTCATAATTCTTATAGACAGGTAGTAACTAGATGGGTGAAATAACCAATACTTTTTTAAAAATGAAAAGGCATATTTCTCATTTAAATCAGAGTTTAATTTTTTTATTAAAATGTTTTAAAAATAAATTACATTAAAAGCTCATATTATGTTAAAGCAAGAGGTTTTTTTTTTAAGTCCCTCTGGCAGAAAATATTATATAATTATAAAAGAAATCAATTATACTTAAATATTATTATAAAAAATTTTTTTAATCACTCTTTTTTTTTCTTTTTGGTGAGGCAATCAGGGTTAAGTGACTTGCCCAGGGACACACAACTAGTAAGTATCTGAGGCTGGATTTGAACTCAGATCCTCCTGACTCCAAGGTTGGAGTTCTATCTACTACACCACCTAGCAGCCCTGAAAATATTTTTATAAATAAGTTTTCTGACCCCAAGGTTAAAAATACAATTTAAATATATGAGACAATCTTGTTTTATGTTAATGGCACACACACACACACACACACACACACACACACACACACACACACACACACACACACATATATATATATTTCAAATAGAAAGTAAGCATACAAACTTTTTAGAAGCATTCTATAAATGGATCATTGACTGGCCCTAGCTCATTTTCCTGGCAACAATGACATTTTATAAGAGGGCTTGTCAGTAATTTCTGGAGTTAGTCAACTAGCATTTATTAAGTACTTACTATATGTCAGGCACTGAGCTAAGTGTTGGGGATATAAAGAGAGGCAAGACAGTTCTTGTTCTAATTTGGGAGACAATAATACAAACAATATGTCAACAAACAAGATATATTCAGGATAAATTGGAGATAAACATCAGAGAGAAGTCACTAGAATTAACAGGAAGAATCAGGAAAGGTTTCTTGAACAAGGTGGAACTGGCTGTAACTCGAAGGAAACCAGGAGACAAAGATGAGGATGAATAGAGTTCCAGACCTGGGCAAAGATCACAAGGTCAGTGTTTTTGGAGGGCTTTATCAGCCCAACAGAGGATTTACTTGATTTTGGAGACAACAGGAAGCTACTAAAGTTGAATGATCAAGGGGATGATATGATCAAACTTATGCTTTAGGAAGATCGATCAGAAAATTGAATGGAGAATTGCCTGGAATAGGTAGAGCTTAAGGCAGAGAGGACTGGGCATGTCACTAATATTTAACAGTCAATCTTTTTTAATATTAAACTACATAAACAAATTCCAGATCTATGAATGATCCATTTAAGAAATATATGTTTTCTTATGAGACTTAAAGAAAATTCCAAGGGTGAACAATTCACTGAGAGTATATTATGAACGCATGTAATAATTCAGTTCTTGACAATGGCTTCTTCAGGTAAAGAAAAGAATGTTTTATTCCTTAGTAGTTCTTCACTAAAGAGAAAAACAATTTGAAAATTTAGATAGAAAAACAATTCTATTCAATGAGTAGAAAAAGGTAAAGACTATTTCAGTAGCTTCATCTAAGAGGTTCAGTTTCTTGTGCTGACCTGAAATAATGTATTCAACTTTTGTTTTCATTATGCATTTATGACTAGAAAAGTTGAACATTCAAAAGTAGATTGCTTGCTTTGTTAAAATTATTATGTTTGCTGACTGAATTTGTAGTTTGGCTTTTGATAAAACAAGCATTCATTTATTAACTATTAATTAACTATATTTATTAACTATGCATGGCTAAAAACCATGCAGTCTCTCCTCAGGGGTGCAGAACCAGTGGCTTTGAGGCCACACGTGGCCCTCTGGGTCCTCAAATGAAACCCTTTGAATGAATCCAAACTTCACAAGAAAAAATCCCCTTAATAAAAGTATTTGTTCTATAAAACTTGGACTCCGTCAAAAGGCTGTACCCAAGAATCTAGATGGCCACATGTGGCCTTGAGACTGCAGGTTCTCCACCCCCATACTACCTTCAACGGGCTTACAAGATAATAGGGAGCCGAAGGAATGAGACATACTCAAATCCCTATAAAATACATGAGAAAAACAATGAAGTACACATGAGTTCTAAGAATCCTGAGAGACTGGGGTGTGACTTCTTGTGGGGTGGAGCTCTGCAGAGTAGGTACCTCCATGGAAAAGGAAAAAGCTGGGCAAGATCTTGAAGGAAGATAAGAAAGATGTTAAGAGGTAAATTAGGGTAGGAGGAGAAGAGCTTGTTCCAGTCTGGAAAACCAGTCTCAAGAAGGTAGCAAATCACACCTATCAGATTGGCTAATCTGACAAAAAAGGAAAATGTTGGATGTTGGGAGGGGATGTGGGAAAACTGGGACACTAATGCACTACTGGGGGAACTGTAAACTGATTCAACCATTTTGGAGAGCAATTTTGGAACTATGCCCAAAGGGCTATAAAACTGTGCCTATCCTTTGATGCAGTAATACCACTGCTAGATCTATATCCCAAAGACAACTAAAAAAAGGGAAAAAGGACCTTTTTTATTTATATTTACAGCAGCTCTTTTTGTGGTGGCTGACAATTGGAAATCAAAAGGATGCCCATTAGTTAGGGAATGGCTAAACAAGCTGTGGTATATGATTATAATGGAATATTACTGTGCTATATAAGAAAGGACACAAGCAGGATAATTTCAGAAAAACCTGGAAAGACTTAAATGAACTGATGCATAGTGAAGTGAACAGAACCAGGAGAATGTTGTACACAGTAACAGCAACATTGTTCAATGTTCAATGAAGATCTGTGAATGACTTAGCTATTCTCAGCAATATAATGATCTAAGACAATCCCAAAGGACTAATGATGAAGCTTACTATCTGCCTCCAGAGAAAGAACTGATGTTGGTTGAAAACAGACTGAAGCATGCTATTTTTCACTTTCTTTCATTTTTTTCTTTTATTCGAGTCTTCTTGCACAAAATGACTAATATGGAAATATTTTACATAGCTGCATGTATAATCTAAATCTGACTGCTTACCATCTCAGGGAGGGGAGAGGGAAGAAAGGGATAGAATTTGGAACTCATAATTTTAAATAAAAATGTCCAATAATTAAAAAGAAAAAGAAAGCACAACTGTATTTATGAGAATGTGCAGGTATAATAGTAGGAAAGAAATAGGAAGGTTATAATGATTTTCCAACTTCCATAGGATTGTAGATAATAGGACTGTAGCAGTATAAAACATAGCTAAGGCCTAAGGAAGTTATATATTTTAATAAAAATAGCTTTTCAGCAATTAGTAGCTAAAAGGTCATTTAACACTTAAAAAAAAAGAAGGTAGCAAATCAGGAAAATACCAATTTGGAGGATAGTGAGAAGTTAGTTTGAGTAAAACGAGGTTGTATAAAGGTGAGATAGGGAAGAGGACTGGAACTGTGACTTCATTAGTGGACTGAACTCCCTTAAGAGGAAATTCCTTCTAATGATGCAGGTCAGTCACTTCTCTGCAACTGACAGTCTTACAGATTTGCCTAAATTACTGAATAGCCAGATGACTTGTCCAGGTCACAATGCTAATTAAGTGTCAGAGCTGGAAACTGAGCCCTGGTCTTCCTGACTCCAAGCCAACTCTTTGTCCACTATACAAAGCTGTCTCTTGGGTGAAGATAAGTACCTTAAAATAAGACTAGAAAGGTAAGTTGGAATTACACTATAAAGGGCCTTGTCAGGCAAAGGGCTTTGTATTTTACTCCCTAAGCAAAAGCACACTATTGAAGATTATCTGAACAAGAAAGTAACATAATCAGGCCTATGCACTAGAAAGATTACCATGACAACAATGTCAATTAGTCATGCAATAAACATTTATTAAACACCAACTCTGTGCCAGGCTCAATGCTAAGCTCTAGGGTTACAAAGAAAGGCAAAAGACTGTCCTTGTCTTCAAGAAGTTCAGAGTCTAATGGCAATATTTGGAAATTTGGAACCTACAGGTTGAAATCAGAGTTATGAAAAGCCTTCTTAATAACAGGGCAGCTAGGTGGTACAGTGGATAGAGAAGCTAGGCCTGGAGTCAGGAAGACCTGAGTTCAAATCTCACCTCAGATACTTACCAGTTGTGTATCCCTGGGCAAAGTCACTTAACCCTTTCTGCCTCCATTTCCCCAATTATAAAATGAGCTGGAGAAGGAAATGGCCCAACACTCCAATCTCTTTGCCAAGAAAATCCCAAATGGGGTCATGAAGAATCAGACACAACTGAACAACAACTTCTTAATAATACTGCCAGAAATGCATCAGGCCAGCCCTAGTTAGTTTTACTAATAGGAGAATGAATGCCAGTGGTTCGGGAAATCAGTATCTCTCCAGAACATCCTTAGAATGTTTCTCTCTTCTCCTTTCTACCACTGATTCTAAGAAAGGACTTTGATGAAAGCCTCAACATAATATGGCAATGATACCAGAAATATACAAGTACTCTGGCAGTTTTTGAGCCCCTATGCAAAAATCTTATTACCTGCCATATTCCAAGATAGAGAGTAATAAGAACAATTTAATTACAAGCATAATCTTGTGCTGGAAGGAAGGAAATGTCATCATTAACACCCTCGTGAGTTCTCTCCACATTATCCTCCTTTTCCAGAAATAGGATGTTATTTACCTATTAACATGTTATGATAGTGCCCTGCAAAATCTGTTGGTATAAGACCAACAGATGGAATCTCAAGTACAGACACATCTTGAAATAAAAAGCCTTTTTTTTCTTTTGGCCAGAAGACTAATGAAACTGTTTGGTCAAAAACTCAAATTGAAGCAAGGAAACTGATGACTATTATGCAGGAAAAAGAGAGCAAGATTTTCAGTCTTTTTTACATTTACACTCTCTACTTCCATTCAACATTTCTGGGCAACACAGAGACCTAGAAACATTATCCTTTGAAGATTTTATGTAATATGTGTAATGTGCTCATTACATTCTTCTTGGCCAGTGGAATATATCCACCATTAAACAACAGGTATGATGCCAACTTTTATTTTTTGGCTATTGTTTGAGTCATTATTCAAAAGTGCTTGGTTACAAGAACAAACAACTTGGTGACTGATATTGCATCTCCATGTTTTTTCTTTATACTAGAGGACTTAAAAAAAAAAGATGTTTGATGAAAATAAATATCCTCCATATGTGCTTTCATAGCTGTCAATTTAAAAAAACCTAAATTTGTAAAAGTAGGGCAGGTTACCGTAACACACAGTCTCCATGGCACCATGGAAATTCCAAAAGAAGAGCCAAGGGTTAGTGTTACCGGGAATGAAACAAAAACAAAACAAACAAAAAAAACAAAGACTAGGAAAACTGAGTTTGGTCAAATGCCACTTTTGCAAAAACAGAAAGTTTCTCAGTCAGCAAGTAACACTGCTTTTGGTTTCCAACAGCTAATCCTTTAGTTTAACATAGCAGTAAACAGATGCCAAACCACATTAATCCTGCTGCCTCTGGCAAATGGAAGGGGAACTGAGTTGAAACTAAACTTTGTTATGCCACCACCTTGAAGTAAAATCATATATGTCTGAAAAAATGAATAACTTGTCTTGTGAAGCCAATAGTCCTTTCTTCTCTGCCTCCTTCAAAGTACAATACATTTAACAAGGTCGGGGGAATTTTCAGCTTAAAGGCATAAACCAGACATGTCCCCTGTTTTGTGTGCATGCACATACACATACACACACACACACACACAACATACACTTGAAAGAAAATATATTGCAAACTTATGCAGTGGGTCTTCCAAAATACAATCTCAGATTTAATAGCAGAACTCCTTTTGTAGCCATGTTATGGTGGAGGGAGGGGAGGGGGAAGTTGAGAATCACAGAAAAATTTTCCTACAAACTTTTAGTGAAGATGGTGAGGCAAAAGGATGAAGATTATTAAGAAAGTGCTTTAGTTTTACACATACTAAGTGCTCCAAACATATACATTGAATGAGTGCCTCAGAAGGAATAATAATGCTATAAATGAACCTTCCAAACTCCAAAGTTTAGAAGTGTAATTCATCTTCATCAGGTGAAGCAATGAACCTTCTCTAGCCATGTTCAAGAGAAACTTCTCCATGTGGCTTCTGTTTCATGACAAGGAAGGATAAGGGTGAGGATAAAGCGGAGAGCTGGCACCAAATTCTGGCAAAGCAACTTGTCATCCAGGATGTCCCACACTGAAGAATACAATGAAGGTCACTTTTAAATATTACTTGTTATGAATGAAGACATTTTAATGAGACAGTAGGACACTATTCTTGGAGTCAGAAGAGGAGTGAGTTTAAATCACACTTGCAACACCTGTAAGCTGATTCAGCTTTCAGTTGATTCTTCATGGTCCCATTTGGAGTTTTCTTGGCAAAGATACTGGAAAGGTTTTGACATTTCCTTCTCCAGCTCATTTACAGATGAGGAAACTGAGGCACACAGGGCAAAGTGATTTTCCCCAGGGTCACACAACTAGGATATGTCTAAAGCCAGACATGAACTCAGGAAAATGAATCTTCCTGACTCCAAGCCCAGCACACTATCCATTTTGCAACCTAGCTGCCCTGTAAGCTGATTAGGGAATACTTAAACCTGTCTCTCTGAGCCTCAGTTTTTAAATGTGTAGAACTGTAGGTATAGTGGCTATAGTAACTCATGTATAATCTATAGCAAACTGCTTGCCTTCCCAAGGAGAGGGGAAGGAAGGGAGGAGAGAATTTGGAACTCAAAAATTTTTAAAAAGTGTTAAAAATTGTTTTTTACAAGTAATTAAAATATATGAAAATTTAAAAATAGGTATAGCATCTGATTTACATGTTAATTATGAGGATCAAATGAGAATGTACATAAACAAGCATTTTGTGACCCCTCAAAACTTTAATGTCAAGTTTGCCTAGTAACACCACTGTCATTAATTTAACTTGTGAGAGGAAAAAAATCTAGAAGACAATAAATACTTGCTAACTGATTGATAATTAGCCCCCTTTTGTCCCCTTCAAAAAAAAAAGACTGCTGTGAGGCTTACCACTTTTTCCTTTGATCTGAGGACTCCAAGCTTCCCGAACCGAACATGAAATGGAGAACACTGATAGGTGCCATCCTGCTGCCGAACCACAATGACATCAATGCATCCAGAGAGCGTGGCTTGATTAATGCCCTTGTATAGCTCCTTCACAGTGACAATGACTTGCCCAGCCAGCTGCCCCACATAATTCATGGTTTGAGACTAAAAAAAAAAAAGATAGGAAAATACAAATTAAATGATAACAAATCATAGCTATAATCCAGCTGGCATCAAGATGCCACTCCAGGGAGCAAGATTTTTATACTTTGCCAGATTTTTACAAGATCGCCTAACTTGGAATGCCCACTGACAAGCTTTATTTATGATTGACTACCCCTATAAGGTCTTCCCCTTCTTCCATTATGTCTATAGGTCTACTCCTTTTCTCCCTGACACAGCTGCTGGTAGGTACTCTTTTCTCCTTCCTCTTTCCTTTCTTGGCCATTGGCAATGCCTATTTCTCAATAGCCAAGACCAATAAACCTATACCTACCGCATGATGAATGTTAGACTACCCATCCCCACCCAAGATTGGGACCCTCAAAATACTTTCCACCAGGTGAGTATCCTCCTCCCCCAAAGAACCAGGTCTCTACTGCTACCACCTGCCAAAGATCTGGATCCCAGCTCACAACCACCACCACTTGAAGACTGTGACCCCATATGGCTTTGGCTGCCCACAGAAGAGGTGGCCTTAAGTCCTAGATCCATCACTGTCATTGACCAACTCCAGAAACACTCCCTTCCTCCCCACCTTCCCTGCTTCCTCCTGCCTGGATCCCCTTCCCTGCTACCTTGGACCCCTATCCCACTTTGGTTACTGTGTCCAGTACTGGAGAGGGAGGAGAGGGGTGTCCCTCCTCCCACTGCCCAGAGTCCTAAAATAGAACTTGGAATAAGTTTTCCCATAGAAACAATATTATACATGGTTGTTAGATTCCATGGTAAGGCCTAATATGAGAGAACATAACGTAATTTAGCTATATCATAGTTTTAAAAGTCCTTTACCAGCCGATGTAGGAACCTTAACACTCATTTATTACAATGTAAACATTTTTATAATATTGTTTCTATGGGAAAACCATTCTGAGTTCCAAAACAACTGACAAACAGTTTTGGAATGGAATAGATTCTTCCAGGGATGACATATTTGTATTTCATAAACAAAATGAAATTAATACATGCTTTTAGTCTCATCATCTTCCTTAAGATACTTAATGTGATCACTTCAAAACATCTAATAGATTTTCCCTCTCTTATTGATTTTCAACCTGAGATTATGATCCCTAAATGGGATCCCTAAATATCTACAGAAAGGATTTTCTGAACTTTAGGTGTGATAGAGGTCTCCAGAAACTAGCTAAAATGGACTGCCTCCAGAAGATGTGTGATAGAAACTGGGGAAAAAACTGGCTAAAGTTCCCTTGCTCCCACCCCAATGGATTCCTTAATCCTTAAAATGTGCCCCATTGTTCCAACCAAGAGTGATCAGCTTTAATCGGTGAACAATGCCTCTCCTCCCCTTTACCCTCCCCACCAATGGGTGGCTATTGCCTTTCCTCCTCATAGTCATTGTGACATGACTGTAGCTAGGGCCCTGTTAACTTTCAGGCAAAAGTGTGTAGGGGGGTCTCAATGCCTTCAAATCTCTCAATCTCAAAAATACTCTCTTTGTATGCCAACGATCTTTAAAATTAAGTATTATCTGTTTAGTTCTCTTTTAGATCTTAAAGACTCATTTAAGGTCACAGGAAAAAAAAAGAATTGGGAGTAGCTTTACTCTCAGCTGATAAAGATTATTAGAAAGTATTTACAGATGTGGAAACTCACACACACAAATAGAACACCGGTCAGAAGTTATGGAAGAATGAGCAAAAGAACCTCCCTCACCTGAACCTGAGCTCCCACTGCCTTGCTCTTCTAATGACAATTACTTAGAAGAAATGGTTGGTTCTTATTAAGAATTTTATGGCACCAGATAACAGTTTTTATTCAAGAGCAATAAATCCAACAAATACTAACTAAAAGTCAACTACATGACAGAATAATACACTAAATGACCAGTGAGATACAAAGATTAGATAAAATAAGGTATTTGCCCTTAGGAAGTTTCCAGTCCAGTTTATAGGGAGAATTTAAATTTTATACACTCCATATATTAACTTTAAAAAATGAGTTAATTTGACAAGTTTAAATCATTAAGCTGCATCTTGCATCACAATAAAAAACAATTCATTAATGATTTTTAAGTTTTTTGCTTTTGGGTCTGGGTTACAATAATATTAAATTCTAGGCCTTGAAATAGTCTGGAAATAGAAAAATGAGACAGCAAGAGTTCCACTGTAAATGGTTCACATTTAAAGCCTATATTCCAGGAGCTCAGGCTCAGAGTTAGAAGAGAAAACTTAGAAGTCATTTTAGTCAAATTTCATCATTTCACAAAGGAGGAAAACTGAGGCCCAGAGAAATTGTTACTTTCCCAAGCTCATGGCTGGTGAAAGATGAGATTTGAAATGTCCTGAATCCAAACCCAGTGTTTTCTCATTATACCACACTGCCTTTTGAAAAGAAAACCCTCCGAAATTGTTATATTCTGTAGATAATATGATGACATATTTGTTCCTCAGCAGAGTGCCAAGTAACCTAAGTTTTAGTTGATGCTTAATCAATGACAACATTTTAAAAACAGCATTCTGATCTTTATAAGAAGTGACCAACTCACACCTGTTATCTACTTCTAGTAGCTTCTCTCACTTGGGAAACGGAAAAAGTAAATCTAGTGATACAAATGGGCAATATGATGCAGTGGATAGAAAGCTGTCCTGGAAGCCAAGAAGTGGGTCCAATTCCTATCTCTGACACTTACTGGCCATGTGACCCAAGGTAAGTCATTTAACTCTTAGTGATCTAGGCATCTTTCTAAGACCATAGGTTGTTAGAGAAGGCACTACCCTGTACGATTAGAGGTAGTTCACTATATCAATATGATCCCAAATCCATTCCCTACCCCATTCACCAATCAATCGAACAACAATTAATAAGCATACATTAAATGTGTATATGCTGAATATACTATATATGTATATGTATGTATATATGTATAATGCATGTACTAGGCACTGGGAATATAATGATAAAAAAGAAAATAGTCCCTGTTTTCAAGGAGATAACATTTTATAGGGGAAGGCATAATTACTGACTAGATCCATAACTATTATATGAAAGCAATATAGTATAATATAAAGAGCATCAAATTTGGAATCAGCAGACCTAGATTCTAGTACTTTGTCCCAACTTTGCCACTAACTAGTAAGTTAACTATAGGCATATGTCGCCTCTCTAGGCCTCAGTTTTCTCATCTGTAAGGTTAAAAAGCTGACTTATTAGTGAATCTCTAACATTTTGAATTTACTTTTTTTTAAAGTCAAAATATACAAGCTTTGAGAGAAAAGACACCAGTGAAAATGGAACATTAGGTCCCTAATTAAGAACACTTATGTTGATTCAAGATGCTTTTAATTACCATGGTTAAGTGATATGCTGCCTATGTAAGAAAAAACTATTGTGCAAATGTCGGTTTCTAAATACAGCAAAATATAGGCTGTCAAATCACAGGCCTTTGCTTAGCAGTCACAAAGAGCTCTGTTTATATGAAGAACACTGAAATAACAAAAGTAATGGCAGATACACAGGGAGATGTGCTATACTGTGATAATGAAAAACAGTAACTCTGTTCAAGTACAAACAAGGCAGAAGGGAGAGCTTTGCTCTTGGCATGTTTGCGGGAAAAGCAGGTAATCACCCTGCGGAGGAGGCCCTGCTTCAAGCAAGGATTACATCATAATTATTTACTCAATTGCAACATCAAGGACTGCGAGAACACCCCACATCTATCAAATATTTAATTAAGTCACTGATCACATGCAGTCTCTAATGTTTACAGGGAAAGCACTGCTACAGGTAGTAAGGTACAGTGGGAAAAACTGGAAAAGGAGTCAGAAGATCCCAGTTCTAATCCTGGTTTTTACATGTACTAAGTGTCATTTAAAATCGAGCCTTAGTATCTTCATCTGTAAAACAGGGACAAGAATCAATTAACAAACATGTATTGATTGGTTAGCAAATGCCAAGCACTGTGCTAAGATACAAACAAAAGTGCCCTCAAGAAACTTACATTCTAATGGGGAACAAAAAACATGAGTCTCTTAGTACATAAATAATGTATATAACATGAATACAAGAGAATATTGGTGGAGAGTACTCTAGCAATTAGGAGCAGGGATAAGAAGGGTTTCATATAGGACAGGAGCTCTTATATGGGGTTCATCCACTCTGAGAGGGTCTTTGGAAAGATTTCAGGGAATAAGAGAAATACAACTTTGATTTCACTAACCTCTAACTGCAATTAATCATTTCCTTCAACTATGACTTTTTAAAATATTCTGAGAAGGGGATCTAATAGGCTTCACCAGACTGCCAAAGGGGTCTATGACACAAAAGAGATTAAGAACCCCTGATATATAGAAGGTGATGCTTGAGCTGTGTGTTTAAGGTTTCAATGGGCAGAGGAAAGAACACAGTCCATTCCAGGCATGGGGTACACACAATACCAAGCACAGAGATAGGTTAAAAAAAGAAAGAAAAAGGATAAAGATGGCATGAGAGGGTACCATAATCTGTATGAAAATAAAAGTGTTGTTGCTTTACTGTTAAGTAGCTTTAGAAATGTGAGATGCTATTGATAGTGGTAGCAGGAAATAAACTAACCTCTCCCTGAAGTAAAAATATCAAAAAAAAAAAAAAACCTATCTGAAGCAGAAACAGGAGAACCTTTTTCCTACTGGGACCAGCCCAGGTGTTACCTCCTCCATGATGCTTTCTTGATCTTTCTATGAAAGTCAACCGCTTCTCCTTGAACTTCTCATTTCCAAAGCTAATGCCAAAAAATAACATTATTCTATAGGTGAGGAAACTGAGGCTGTTCAAGAAAGTTAAATAACTTGTCCATGCACGTAAAGCTGGTAAATGTCAATGTTAGGATTCAAAATCAGGTTTCCTGACTCCCAAGTCTCGCATACTATGCCATAATTGTCGCTTGCTATGATGTCTGGCTTCACCCATGCACACACAATCATAGTAACTTGTGTTATTAGTTATAGGTA